CAATGCAAATTCTCTTCTGTAGAAAATTAAACAAACAGACTTTAATGTAGTTACTGATGCAAGGGCAAACCAGTTCTTTGAGACCTGGCAGTCTACCTGCTGGGCGTTATTTGCCATTCTTTCCTAAACAAATACTTCTGAAGAAATGGCACTTAAAAGCTGGAGTAGATAAACTTTAAAACATGAAATTCTGGAAACTATAAATTTATGGTTTGTATACTCCACTGTCAAGAAAATAACAATATGTATGGGCAAATGTACAGAAATTAACTATCTATTTTTGTATATTAATAATATCACAGTTTGTACTTTTTCAGCATAAAAATTGCATATATTATTTAATCCCAGAGTGAGTTCTCCAGTGATTTACATGAATTTTTCATATTCAAAGTTAGGAAAATTAACTTTCAGAAAGTTGCTTACTAGTAAAAACAATAAAGCTCTTTTAAGAAGTAAAATGGAAAGCACTTAATTTCTGCTTAAAAAAAGAAAATTCTCACTAACAGTGTCTATATGTAATGAAGTTTAATGTGTTATTGTTCTCTGTGGACATTTGCATTTTTAGAGGGGAAAAAGTGTTAGGACAAAGGTCCAAGTTTCTAAAATGGCATTTCCAATACTAATGAAAATGTGAATCTGGCCCTTCCTGTGGAGGGAGGCCCATGCAAAATTAGGACCAAGTGCTGTGGGCCCGTCCTTCAACCAGCCCCACCCCTCAGAGCCCAAAACAACAAAGGCTATATGCAGATGCCACAGTTTGATTAGAACAATTACCAAAATCTCTTTGTTCATTTCCAATCTAATCTTTTATTACTGTGTCTGACTCAGAAACTGTAGCACCCTCACCCTTCCAATTCCATACCCCGTTCCCAAACTCTGGTTCTGTTTAGGACCTGCAGACCTGGCTTTGGGACCTGGCTTCCTGACAGTTTGACATCGCCTTCTCTCAAATGGTTTTAATCTGAACTTGCTCCCTCTCCTTTGCAGGGCCTTGCATCAGCCTTGACAGCGCTGATGGAAGGCTACAAGCGACATAAAATTGTAATCTTAAGTTGCTGGAAGAATGTTGAATTGAAATAGCACCTAAGTTGAGTAATTTTTTAAGGTTGAAGGTCCCATCACAGCCATTATGTGGAAGTACTGCCAAGCAGATGGTCAAGTTGGCTACTCAGCATGTATCCAATCTATGGGACTTGGAGAGGCAGTGCCAAATTCTGCATCTCAGATTTCTTTCAGGCTTTCCTCTCTATGCCTTTTGTTGACTCACTGTTTTTTGGAGATGTGAATAATATTAGCCAACCATCTGATTCAGCTCTTCCCACTTGGACATATGAGACAGTTTTCCGCATATATCATATTTCATTTAGGATATATTGACTTTACTGGTGTAGTCAGAGTACTCTCAAGTTCTGCAGGTTTCAGAGCTCATTCTTGTTGAGTGTCAAAGTAGAGGGTTTAAGGTCTCATCTTCATCCCCACAGTTGCCGTCTTGCTTTTGGATTGCTGCTCATTCCTGCCAATCTTCTCTTGCTCTCATAAGCTTCTTTTTACACTGCTTTGCTCCCCTAATAAATGTACACTCCAAATGTAGGCACACACTTCTTTTTTGATTCTCCCAAATACAGGAAGACCAGGCTTGCTGTGTGTATCAGTCAGGACTCAGGGTTGGAAGAGACAGACACTCATCTTGAGAGGGTAACAGGCAGGAAGGCTAGGGGTCTCCAAATGGAGGAAATAGGCTGCAAGTGTCAGATGTTTTCTGTCTCTCTTAAGTGGTAGGAGGAAACAAACTACAAGTGTCAGGGTTTTTTTTTTCCCATCTCTATTCAAATTAAAAAGGAAGTTTGTCTTAAAATTCTGTGCTGCCATGATGACACCTGTCTCTACCTGAACTTGTCTTTTCTCAAACCTTGAGCTAATCAATGTGTTTTTCTTATGGAGGACAAGTCCCCTGGTGCCACTGTTATCTCAGAATGCACGCTGTGCTGTGGGTGAGGGGCCTGCTGCCAGTCTCTGAGTTTTGAGACAGTTTCTTTCTCCAATTGGCAGCCTGCTAGTAGCTGTAGAACATCTGGCTAACGACTAGCAGAGGGGCACTTCCTTCTTTTTATCTTTTTTTTAAAAATTAATTAATTAATTAAATTTTTTTTTTATCACAACCATAGTGTATCTTTTTTTTTTTTTTTTTACATGTATTCCCCATCCCGGTCCCCCCTCCCACCTCCCTCTCCACCCAATCCCTCTGGGTCTTCCCAGTGCACCAGGCCCGAGCACTTGTCTCATGCACCCAACCTGGGCTGGTGAACTGTTTCACCCTAGATAATATACGTGTTTCAATGCTGTTCTCTTGAAACATCCCACCCTCGCCTTCTCCCAGAGTCCACAAGTCTGTTCTATACATAGGAGTCTCTTTTTCTGTTTTGCACATAGGGTTATCGTTACCATCTTTCTAAATTCCATATATATGTGTTAGTATACTGTAATGGTCTTTATCTTTCTGGCTTACTTCGCTCTGTATAATGGGCTCCAGTTTCATCCATCTCACTAGAACTGATTCAAATGAATTCTTTTTAATGGCTGAGTAATATTCCATGGTGTATATGTACCACAGCTTCCTCATCCATTCGTCTGCTGATGGGCATCTAGGTTGCTTCCATGTCCTGGCTATTATAAACAGTGCTGCGATGAACATTGGGGTACACGTGTCTCTTTCAGATCTGGTTTCCTTGGTGTGTAGGGGCACTTCCTTCTGATGTCTATGTCAGAAGCTTTCTCTATCTCTTTTATACTTCAATAAAACTTAACTACACAAAAGCTCTGAGTGATCAAGCCTCATCACTGGCCCTGGATTGATTTCCTGTCCTTTGGATGCCAAAGATCCCAGTGGCTTTCATGGCTCAGCAACAACCTTTCAATCTCAAACTGGTTTTAAAGAGTAACAGCACCTCCATAAATATAGGAGAACGTATTAGCTAAGGCAATGAAAAATCCAGAGGCTACATATATTTCAAGGCTCGGTGGGATTCCAGGGTTCAAACAACGTGACCAGAAATTTGTTGGTTTTGGTCTCATATCCTTGTTTCCTCTGTTTTGGCTTCATTATCTGGCAGGCCTTCCTGAGTGATAGCAGAGAAGGCACTGAGTTTCCAGGCTTATGTTCTGAGCTCTTTAGCAAGCAGAGCAGAAAAAAGGCACTCCTTTCCCACAAAGTCCCCCAAATGTCATAGCATTGGGTCTACTGAGCATGACTCAGTTCCTAGCTTAACCCTTGAGTAATCACTGTGACAGATGCTCTTGGATACTGGGGACTAGGATGAAGGGGTTGGGGTAAGGAATCAACCCCTCCTAAAACACAAGGTTGAAGGTGGGGGAGGAGGTGCTCCTGAAGAAAACATAGCTTCATGTTACCAGATAGAAAATGGATTCCGAAAAGAAAAAAAAAAAAAAAAAAAGAAAAGAAAAGATAAGACAGATGCTCACTACACTTGGATATCAGCAGAGAGAATTCCCCACAAGGAATAAAAAAAGAAATCCACCCTAAAATTAGTGCATACTGATATCCTGGCTCCCAGATCCATCTCTGCAGGAGGCTGCCCCACCGCTGTCACAGTCCTCAGGCCCCTGGGTGGCGGAAGCATCTTTGAGAGAATAGATGATAGATTTGGGAATCTTGAACTTAAACTTGACCCAGGGTCAGGCCCTCAACTATACACTTCCCCCCCCCTTTCTAAAATGAGAAGAAATCTTTCTTTTTTGCTCCTTATTCTTTCCACAAACTTTGTAACCCTCTTTCTGTAGAGCCTCAATTCTGCTCAAAGGAAGAGAAAAGTTCGCATCATTCCAGAGCTGGTTACCTCCCAACTGTTTCAAACTTTTCAGTCTATAGTCATTTCAGGCCTGTAATTTTATATCATCAAAAGTTTATTAAAGTATTTTTTTTTCCAAATCAAAAAAGCAGTATCCAGACTCAAATGAGAACAACCTTTGCCTCTAGATAAGGAGGAGATTGCTTATGTCAGTTTGGATTACTGTCTGCATGTAAGAGAATAAAGTCCAATATCATGGCTTAACAAGATAAGTTCACCTCTTCTCTCTCTCTCCTCGTTGTGTCTCTCAGTAAAGTACTACAGAGACGTACTCCAGGTCTGATTTGGTGGCTTCAATCTATCAGAGTCCATAGCATCTTCTATTTGACTTCTCTGACCACAGGGTAAGTTGTTGGCCACAGGAAGGTGTAAAGAAGAGTTTGCCACTTTTTTTAGAAAATTTATTGACGTCCTAGACTACCCTACGCATACATCTTCTTGGCCAAATGTAGTTGCTCTATCATATCATATATAGTTGTGAGAGGAGCAAGAAAATGTCAGTTCTTAAAGGCGTCCTTAATTTTTTAAATTTAATTTTTAAAATCAAAGTATAGTTGATTTACAATGTTGTGTTAATTTCTGCTGTACAGCAAAATGGTTCAATTCGCTACTTCTGTGAGTCCATTTCTGTTTTGTAGATAAGTTCATTTGTGTCATAATTTAGACCCCACATATAAGTGATATCTTGTGATATTTGTCTTCCTCTTCCTTACTTCACTTATTATAATAATCTCAAGGTCCATCCTTGTTGCTGCAAATGGCATTATCTCATTCTTTTTTATGGCTATTCTGTTGTAAATATGTACTACATCTTCCTTATCCTTTCATCTGTCATTGAGCATTTAGGTTGCATCCATGTCTTGTCTATTGTGAATAGGGCCACTACAAACATAGAGGTGACATGTATCTTTTTGAATTATAGCTTTGTCCAGATACATACCCTGGAGTGGGATTGCTGGATCACACAGCAACTTTATTTTTAGTTTTTGAGGAACCTCCATACTGTTCTCCGCAGTGGCTGCACCAACACACATTCCTAGGTGAGTGCTTTAACTGGAGGGAAAGGGGAGCCCGGCTGCAGGCGGAGGCTGCTGGCAGTAGCAGTGCTTAGCGCTCAGCTGCCGCCTCCTGGCCATGCGGGTGGTGACCCCGGCCTCTCTGCAGCCCCACCGCGCTGCGCTGGTTCTGGAGTCCCGGGGCGCCTCTCCACTGTGCTGTGCGCTGCTCTCAAGCCCTTATTTGAGCTCATATTTTGGTATCTGTTTATGGTTCCTAAAATTTAGCCAGTTCGATTTTAAGGTTATACCAGGCATCATGTTTAAGAGTTCTGAAAAATAGGTTTTGGTAATTTTAAGCAACTGCCAGTTAAGTTCCTAAGCAAAGTTGAGAGGAAGGTGAGTAAAATTGATGAGATGGTCTTCATTTGTAATACACAATAAACACCTGTCACCTGCATAGAAAATACTGACTGTAAAAGGGCATCATGAAGGATCCTTAAGGTTATGAAAACATGTGCCTTGACTATTGATTCAGTCTCCTGGTTGTGATATCCTGGTATAGTTTTATAAGATGTTACCGTTGTCAGACACTGGGTAAAGGGCATATCAGAGGTCTCTTCTTAAAATTACATATGTGTCTCCAGTTTTCTCAAAATAAAAGGTTTAATTTTACAAAAGTCCACTGCATCTCGTAAATAATATCTCAATAAAAATTTTAAGTTAGTTGCGTTTCCAATTAGTGCACTAAAAAGGACATGTTTAGTATGCAGTTTATAAAAATACTGGTTGATTGATTGATGTGGCTGTGCCAGTCTCAGTTGCAGCATGGTGGCCTTTGTTATTTGCCGTGTGTTGGACATTTTTTAGTTGCAGCATGTGAACTCTTAGTTGCGGCACGTGAACTCTTAGCTGCGGCACGTGAACTCTTAGCTGCGGCACGTGAACTCTTAGCTGTGGCACGTGAACTCTTAGCTGCGGCACGTGAACTCTTAGTTGAAGCATGTGGGATCTAATTCCCTGACTAGGGACTGAACTTGGGTCCCCTGCCTTGGCAGTGTGGAGTCTTAGCCACTGGACCACCAGAGAAGTCTCTAGTATGCAATTTGGGCTATTCTGATCAATTTTTTTCCACACAAATACTAAGAAGAAAAATCAGAAGGTCAACTGAATTCAAATGTTCAATTTTTAAATTATGAACATTTGAAAGTATATACAAAAGAAAAGAATATAAAGAAACTCCATGTACTTACCACCCAACTTCAAGAATTATCACCCTTTTGCTTACCATATTTTACCTGTTTGCCTTGCAACTTTTTCCCCTGGTGGGTTATTTTAAAGCAAATCCCAGACATTATTTTACCCTTAAATAACAACTGTTTTAAAGACAGGTGATCCCATGCACAATGAATCAGTTCAGTTCAGTCACTCAGTCGTGACCAACTCTTTGTGACTCCGGGGACTGCAGCATGCCAGGCTTCCCAATCTATCGCCAACTCCCAGAGCTTACTCAAATTCATGTCCATTGAGTCAGTGATGTCACCCAACCATCTCATCCTCTGTCGTCCCCTTCTCTTCCTGCCTTCAATCTTTCTCAGCATCAGGGTCTTTCCAAATGAGTCAGTTCTTTGCATCCGGTGGTCAAAGTATTGGAGTTTCAGCTTCAGCATCAGTCCTTCCAATGAACACCCAGGACTGATTTCCTCTAGGATGGACTGGTTGGATCTCCTTGCAGTCCAAGGGACTCTCAAGAGTCTTCTCTAACACCACAGTTCAAAAGCATCAATTCTTCAGTGCTCAGCTTTCTTTATGGTTCAACTCTCACATTCATACTTGACTACTGGAAAAACCAAAGAATAAAGGAGCTAAAGCTCCATAATGTCAATTCACTAAAACTAGCAATTTTCAGGCACCATGACATTTGTCAATGGTTCCTAGAAATGGAAGTAAGGGGGTGGGTAGCCATAGAGAAAAGCTATAAAGCAAGGATACCTATAGAGTGTGACAAGCACAATAATGCTCCCAAAGATGTCCATTTTAATCCCTGGAGTCTGTGACTCTGTTGTTAATGGAAAGGGGCAATTAAGATTGCTAATCAGCTGGTTTTAATATAGGGAGAGTGTCCTAGATTATCTGGATGAGTGCATTGCAATCACTGGGCTCTTTAAAAATGGAGGAGGAAGTAGAAGGAGTGAGTCACCGGGAAATAGGACTGTGAAAGAAGGTCAGAGTAATATGATGTGAGAAGGAATTGACTAAACATTGCTGGCGTGAGAGGAAGAGAAGCATGAACCAAAGATAGCAGGTGGTCTCTAGAGGCTGGAAAAGGCAAGGAAACTTATTCTCCTTTAGGACTGCCAGTAGGGAACACAGCCTTGTCAACACCTTGATTTTACACTGGTGGGATCTGTGTTGGACTTCTAATCTACAGAACTATAAGATAATAATATGGGCTTCACTGATAACTCAGTTGGTAAGGAATCCACCTGCAATGCAGGAGACCCGGGTTTGACTCCTCAGTCAGGAAGATCCCCTGGAGAAGAGATGGGCTACCTACTCCAGTATTCTTGGATTTCCCTTGTGGCTCAGCTGGTAAAGAATCTTCCTGCCATGTGGGAGACCTGGGTTCGATCCCTGGGTTGGGAAGGTCCCAGTATTCTGGCCTGGAGAATTCCATGGACTGTATAGTCCAGAGGGTTGCAAAGTGTCAGACATGACTTAGGGACTTGCACTTCATAAGATAATAAATTTGTACTGTTTAAGCCAAGTCTCATAATTTGTTAGGGCAGCAGAATAATTCAGATTAGAGATCTGAATCATTTAACCAGATAATAATATAATTATCTGAAGTTGTTAGAATGGAGGTTCAGTTTGCAAGTCCAGCTCTTGTGCTAAAAAGATGAGAAGGCTGTATGATATCAACTTTAGAAATGGGAAAAAGGAATGGACACCCTCTGGTGGTAGAGATAAAACAGACTTCTGGTGTTTTGGATTCTGCTTTCCTTGTGTTTTCTGGGAACTGTTAGGGCCTCCCAGGCTTATCCCAGCTGGGGCCTCTGTCTGGGGAGATTAATGGACCAACTCTGGACCATGAGCTCCATGTTGACCGTGTGGAACAGAGATGGGTCCCAACTGAGCTGATTATTTTGATAATGAGTGATTGGAGGACTACTTAGGACTTGCATGCTGTTGTTTCAACAAAAATTTCTTTTAAATTCAATGTGAGATGTTTTGAAACTAACAGTTTTCCCCAATTAAGATGCTTACAAGGTAAGTTAAAGAAGGAAAAACAAAACAGACTCCAGCCCGCTTACTCAACAACAAAATTTATTCAAAGAATCAACACCATAATTGGGGTCTATTAGTAATTTAGTTTCTGAAATTTTAGTAAAAAAAAAAACAGCCCTTCATCAGTGACAGGGAATTAATAAGAAAATTCTTAAGAACTCTTACAGAGATTACATTTCTGATTTTAAAAAATTAAGAAACCATTTCTAAAACTGGAAAATCCTGGAACAGTTTTCTTTTTCCTGAGCAATCCTCATACAAAAGAAAGTTGTTTGCCACCAGAGCAGAGGTTTTTGATTTGAATCTGGTAAGTTTCCTTCCTCCTTTTGAACTGCCTCCTACAATTCTGGGCAAACTTATTAGGGCATGGAAGTTAGACATGACAGAGAAGCAGGAAGGGGAGGGTAAAAGTAAAGGGAGATATGTTAGCGTTCTAGCATCAAGACTGTTTTATATATGTATTTATACATGTATTTATGTTTAACACACAGAGGTATGTATTATATATTATGTTGTATAGTTCATATCTACTACATATATTTATATTATATATAATATATACATATATATATATATAATATGGATATACACATACATAGAGGAAGAGAGAGCAAGTAAACTCTGCATTGATTAGAACTCTTTGGTACAAGTAACCCTTCTGAGCTAGAATGAGTTCATCTGTTCCAACAGATTTCTAGGCAGAGATGCACTTTTTTAAGGAGATTCACATTTACTCATGTTAAGATTTTGCATCTCATCACTTCTTCTTCAGTAATCTCAACACATATTTGGTGATAACTTACTCATTTGCCATTCTTGACTAGCAAATGTTTATAGAGTGCCTGCCATGTAATGAAAGCCTTCTAAGCACTGGGGATTCAATGAATAACATGGAAAAGATCCCTGCTTTCCTGTAACTTATGATATAGTTGGGGGAGGGGAAAAACGAGTTGAAAAAATTCAGAGTGAGGAGCATAGTACAAAAGGAAAGAAAAGAAGGTGGCTGATAATAGCAGTAGAACTAGTTACGATCGGCAGGGAAGGGTTTCTGAAGAGGCGACGGTTAAGCTGTACATAAAGGATGAAAAGGAGAGAATTATAGACAGGGTGGGCGACATTCCAGGTAGAGGGAATGGTATGCAGAAAGTTTCGAGTCTTGTTTTTTTTTGACTGCATGGCTTGTGAGATCTTAACTCCTCGACCAGGGATTGAACCTACACCCTCAGCAGTGAGAGCATGACATCCTAACCACTGCACTGCCAGGGAATGCCCAAGAGCTTGGAGTTTTTTATGAATTGGAAGAAGACTAGGGTGACTGGAGTGTAGTGAGATGAAAATGTGACATACGAGGAAGTGAGAGAGATAGGCAGGTGCCCCACCTTATAAAGTCTCTTAGACTATGCCATGAAAATTTGATTTTCCTGAGGGTCAAGCAGGAGAGTGATGTGATCAAATTTGTATTTTAAGAGGATCACTCTTGCTGCTACATGGAGGCCGAATTAAAAGACAGCAGGAGAGGAAGACAGCAGAGCAGTTAGGAACCCATCAATGCTGTCCAAGTGAGAGATAAGGTGGCTTGGACTGAGGTGGGGAAAGCTAAGGTTGGAGAGAAGGGGATGGATTTTATTTATTTATAATTTGTATTGAAATATAGTTGCTTTACACTGTTGTGTTAGTGTCAAGTGTGCAGCAAAGTGGTTCAGTTATATCTACATAAAGAGGGTGGGTTTGAGATGGGTTTGGGAGGTAGATTGGACAGGACTCACTGATAGACCGGAAATGGTGAGAAAGACAGGAATCAAGATTCACTCTTGGGTTTTTGGTCTGAGCCTCTGGCTCGCTAGTGGAACGTATCAGTTGAAATGATTTGGGTCCATGTAACAGAAAGCCTTGGCTGAAATAAAAAAAATGGATTCATGTAGGTTCAGAGGTAGCACAGGCTTCAGGGTTCACGGAATTTCACCGTTCTTGAGGAGTCTGGCTCACAGTTGAAGACCCACGTGGGATTTTTCAGGC